GAGGCTGAGAGGATCAGAAATCAAGCTGATACATGCTCCACTGATGATCAGCTGCAGACATCTAACCAAGACCCTGTCTAAAGGTAAATTGAGGAATTGGGAGGAAAGGTGGAAAAAATCATTAAGGAGGAGTGTTAAATTTAATTTTTTTTTTATCCGTTTAGTTTCAATTTTAGTTCAAATCTACCGTGAAGTTGTTTCGCAGTAGGATACGAAAATACCATGCAACGTGTATGCATGGATTTTGGGCTTTCTGATTTGATCAGTTAGTTGAAGTAATCTGCTTCTATTTGCATTCCTATATATACAAGCAAGAAATAAAAATGCGAACTACTTCTTTCTCCAAAAAATACTGCCTTTCAGAAAACAGCAAAACAGAGGCTTGCATAACCTTGCTCTGTTTTGCTGTCCCTCTCTCTCATCAACTTTCTCTCTCTAAGTTCTCTCATTCACAGAGCGTCCCTTGAAGCTCATTTACTTACAATCAACACTATTCCTATAATATTTTAAAACTTCATAAAATTATATTTAAAATTTTGTTTATCTATCGATAGTTATTAATGAGTTATCAATATAAACATCGTTAAAGCACTGTAAATATATATTGATTATTAAATTAGTGTATTTACTCAATTTATTTATTAATAATTTTAAGATTATAAATTATCACTAAACAAATATGAAGGGTTTTATTTCGAAATTTATCAAAGCACAAGAGATCAAATTGTATTTTACTCTTATTATTTTACATATTTGTGTTAAATATTAATAAATATGAAATAACATATTTAAATTTACAAAGATCAATATATATCTTTTGAAGTTAAAACTTTGATGCTGATGAATATATTATTTACTATTTTAATACACAAAGTATAACCTCATTTCTATTAAGAGCTTTATAAAATTTAAAACGTTTGAGTTAATGATAAAATTTATAAAGTAAAAATTTCATTGAAATTTAAAAATATATTTTTAGATCGAATATTTACTTGTACAAAATGTTCTCCATTGTTCTTATTATGTAGACTACATTCATTGAGTTGTAGATATTCGTGCATATGGAGAAATTATTTTTGAGCAACTTATATTCCCATGATTGCAACAATTCGAAATCTAAGGTTTTGTTTTTGCAATTTAATACTTTCATTTGAAAATTGGTTTATGAAATTATGATTTTATATTTTTTTTTTTCTCTCTTCCATTATTTCGACTTGTTTTAGCCTTAATTTTTGTGTGTGTGTGTGTGTTTTTTATAAGTTTATACGAATAAATTTATTTTATATTTAAAATAACCATAAATTAAATTAGATGATGTAGAAATATCATAAAATAAATAACAAATATAAAATATTAAAATCTATCTCTTCATTTTCACTCTCCTTTTTATTTGTTATGCAAGTAAAAAATTTTTTAACCTATCGGGTTTGTTTATCAAATCAAATCAAATCTAGTATGACAATTTCCCCACTCAGGATTGATAAAAGGGAAAACTGACCTCACATAAGCCGTCCTTCAAATATAGAATCTTGTGTTCTGGGTTTGAACACAAGAATAAATGAAATCTAAAACTTTAAGTAGTTCCCAAAGACAGTGCATATATACATATACATATATATAGATGCATGGATATAGCATTATCTGCACTGGAATATGAACATAAAAGTAATGGACTCTATAAGAACAATTTTGCAGATAAGTATTATATTGAATCAACCACAAAAATTGGTCTAATCTGCTGAACAATTCATCAAACCAAATGTCACAATACCAGAACTATTTTTTCTTTTGAAATAAGTCAGAGTACCAAAATTATAACTAACTCCAAATAATATTCTATTCTTTTAACAATGCTGAATTCAAATTCGTTGTTATGATAAATGCATTTCTGCGGATCAAAGCACTATCGATTTGGAAGTTCAACTGGAAAGGACCAGTTTTGATAGATGAAGTCCATTCACTTGATTTACAACTATCTTTTTACAGCAATCTTCAACTTCTGTGGAAAAACAGAGACCCATTATTATTTGCAGAAAACAGAGAACCAATATGTAGGCAAAGATCTATTCCCTTCTGAAGAATTTAAGTGAATTCAAGACTTGACAATGTGATTAACAATGGCTCTGCAAGTCTCTCAGAAATCTTCACCAAGTTTAGATTTGGCTCAAAACATTTTACCAGGGATTTTCCTCTATAATCATTCTAAATAATGTACGACCAAATAAACCAACTAGTATGAAGACTTGGTCCTGCACCCTTATCCAGTGAAATTGACAAGCTAAATGAGCACATGCATAAATGACCAAAAAAGGGTATCTCCATTGCCGTCTCAGATATGCATACAACACAAATGACTACCCCCAATCATTAACAAAAGTTCCCAAAGGGCCCAAGCGTGGTGCTCTACCACATGAAAATGCCGGCCATCTATCTTTTCTTCCTCTTTTTAGCTATATATAGTGGGTATTGCGCCTGTGACTGACAAACACGAGCTTGTAACATATACACATTTTTTACTTTGAGAAGGAGAGGAATTTGCCAGAAAAGATGGCTGTCATTTCCTTGTTGACTCTCTTTTTGTTGTTTAACTTCCATTATGAGATTGCTAAGGGAAGCAAATTTTCATCCGCAACTGAAGCAACCAAGACAGGCATTTTACAAACTTACATTGTCCACGTGAGGCGTCCAGCAGAAGCAGGAGTTCTTTCTCAATCAGGTGACTTAAAGACGTGGTACCAATCTTTTATGCCGCTTGCCAGTACCAGCTCAGATTCAGTGCAACGCATGGTTTATGAATACAGAAATGTGATCAGCGGTTTTGCAGCCAGGTTGACAGAGGAGGAAGTTCAGGCTATGAAAACTATGGACGGGTTCTTGGCGGCATATCCTGAAAGAAATTTGCGGCTGCAGACAACTCACACGCCTAATTTCTTGGGTTTGCATAAGGAAACAGGATTCTGGAGACAATCCGCATTTGGAAAGGGTGTCATTATAGGAGTTTTGGACGGTGGAGTTTTTCCTAGCCATCCTTCGTTCAGTGATGAAGGAATGCCACCTCCCCCTGCTAAATGGAAAGGAATGTGTGAATTTAATATCTCAGCCTGCAACAACAAAATAATTGGTGCGAGGTCCTTTAATGTGGAAGGTAATCCCAGAAAGAGACAAGCAGCTGAGCCACCAATTGATGAAGATGGACATGGGACTCACACAGCAAGCACAGCTGCTGGTGCGTTTGTTAGGTATGCAGATGTGCTAGGTAACGCCAGAGGTACAGCAGTTGGGATGGCGCCTTATGCTCACTTGGCAATTTACAAAGTCTGCTTTGGAGATGACTGTGCCGAGAGCAATATATTAGCTGCAATGGATGCAGCTATTGACGATGGTGTTGATGTGCTTTCACTCTCTTTAGGTGACGAGTCAGTTCCATTTTTCAGGGACAGCATTGCAATTGGCTCATTTGCAGCAATTCAGAAAGGGGTCTTTGTGAGCTGTGCAGCAGGAAATTCTGGTCCTTTGAACGGCACACTCTCTAATGAAGCCCCATGGATTCTCACTGTAGGAGCAAGCACCATTGACAGGAATATTGTTGCCACAGCAAAGCTCGGAAATGGAGAAGAGTTTGATGGTGAATCCCTTTTCCAGCCTGCCTTTCCTTCCACCTTTTTGCCTCTTGTTTACGCAGGAATGAATGGAAAACAAGAGTCTGCATTTTGTGCTGAGGAGTCCTTGAAAGGTATGGATGTCAAAGGCAAGGTAGTTTTGTGCGAACGTGGAGGTGGGATAGCCAGAATTGGGAAAGGGGAGGAAGTGAAAAATGCCGGTGGTGCTGCAATGATTCTCATGAATGATGAGCCCAATGCCTTCAGCACCTCAGCCGATGCTCATGTTCTTCCTGCAGCACATGTCAGCTATACTGCTGGACTGAAAATTAAAACGTACATAAATTCAACAACAACACCTGTAGCAACAATTTTGTTTAAGGGGACAGTGATAGGGAACTCATTATCACCTGTTGTTGCATCATTCTCTTCAAGAGGTCCCAGCTTGGCAAGTCCAGGTATCCTGAAGCCAGACATAATTGGGCCAGGAGTGAGCATTTTAGCAGCATGGCCTTTTCCTCTCGACAATAACACAAATTCAAAATCCACTTTCAACTTAGAGTCTGGAACATCAATGTCATGCCCTCACCTTAGTGGTATTGCAGCCCTGCTCAAAAGCTCTCATCCTTCCTGGTCACCAGCCACCATCAAGTCTGCAATTATGACTTCAGCTGATGTCCAAAACCTTGAAGGTAAATCCATTCTTGATCAAACACTTAATCCTGCAGATGTCTTTGCAACTGGTGCAGGCCATGTTAATCCATCAAGGGCAAATGAACCAGGACTAATTTATGATATTCAACCCGACGATTATATTCCTTACCTATGTGGCCTTGGCTATAAAGATGGCGAAGTTAAAGTGATAGTGCAAAGATCAGTTAAGTGCTCAGAAATAACGAGCATAGCTGAAGGAGAACTAAATTATCCCTCCTTTTCAGTTAAACTGGGGCCATCTCAAACATTCACAAGGACTGTAACAAATGTTGGTGAGGCAAATTCATCTTACGAAGTCACTATTGTTGCACCACTTGGAGTCGAGGTGAGTGTTGAGCCCCGTAAGCTGTACTTCTCCGAGATGAACCAGAAGGCTACATACAAAGTGACATTCAGTCCTAGTGG